CCCTACAGGGCCAAACTCGTCAACAAAAGTGACGTTTCCGCCTCTCCTCTCTCCCCCACCCTTTGCTTCTTCCTCCCTTCTTTCTTTTTCCTTCTCCGAGACAGTATTTATTTTGTGGCTTCCTTAAAGTGACGTTCCTTACTTGCTTTTCTTTATTATTTTAGTGCCCAAGGGGAGTGGTATGATAGGAGCCAGTATTCCTGGGTGCTCAGGCGAGCCGGCCGGGCCACAGTGCAGTTTTCCTGACTAGGGAGGAGAGACCAGTGAGTTGGAAGCAAAATACAGATGTGGTTGTGGGGAGGGAAGAGTTAACCATTTCCCTTCTCTCTCTCTCTCTTTTTTTTTTTTAAAGAGAGAAGTGCCCAGAGACAGGTGCTGCTTACAGCGCTGCCCTCTAGGGGTAGTGTCGGATTCAGCAGCCTAAGGACAGATGCATCCTCACACTTGGCTGTGCCCCCCCCCCAAAAAAAACGGTGCTTTGATCATCAGGCCCCGCTGCATTTTCACAGCACGTGGTGGGAGGTGGCACCCAGTAGCTGGTTTTTGTGGAGCTTAGGTTTTGCCGGCTGGCCTGGGAATGAGAAAACAGAGCAGACGGTTCAAAAGTGATCAGGTGGCGGCCCCTGGCAGCAGCCCAGGAGAGGCGGCATGTTTGTGTAAGAACAACCTGACAGGCGATGCGATGACCTGAACGGTTCGGTGGTTTGGTTGTAAGTGATCCTGTGTAACGGGGGAGTGATCCTTGGATGCAAAACTGGTCGGCCGTGATTGCCTGCCAAGGTGGGGGAGGGGGGTTCTCTGTGGAAGGCTGTGAATACACGATTGACTCTGGAGATAGAAGTGCCATAATTGGGGGGGGGGGGTGGCAAGTGTGGCTAGGTCGGCTCCTTTCCCTGCCTTTTGAAGCCAGTAAGGGGGGGTGGGGAGGAACCTCTGTTCCTGTTTACACTTCCCTCAGCATCTCGGTATCTGGATACGACTCCTTCTGTCTCTTCCCAAAATCTGGTGTGTCCAAAGCTTAGACCTTCCTCCAAGGTCTCTTTTTGCTTAAAATGGGGGTTGAGGCCCAGACCAAGGGGTGCACTTCCGGGCCTCTCCTACCTTCTGCCCACGGCCACAGCCTGATGCCATCACCCACCACAGGGTCATCCCTGGACATTTACGGCCTTGGGGGTGGGGTCAGAGAGAGAGAGTGCATGCCATAGGTTGCCAGTTCCCTACTGCCAGGGTTGCCACTCCACTGCAGCTTCTGACGCACCTCCTCCTCCCACTCCCAGAGCTGCTCCTTGACCACTCCCGCCCAGTTCCCTGGACCCCTCCGCTTCCCTCGAGGGCCTTCTAGCTTTTGGGGCTCTCCTCCTACATTCCTCTTCCTGCACGCACACAATCAGATATTCTCCGTGTTTAAACTGAGGGCTAGAAGTACTTCCAAGAGAAACTGAGGGCTACAAGTAATTCCATGAGAAACGGGTCCAAAGTACTACCCTGAAAATCCTCTGTGTGTGTGATTCCCCCCCCCGCGCTATCATGAGCCAAGATTCCTCCGCCAAACAAAACAAAAATAAGTTCCTCCCTCCCCATTTCTTGTCATGTCCTCCCTCCCTCCCCTTTCTCCCCTCCACTCGTCCCAGTTGGTGAACGACTCCCCCCCGCCCCCTCCCCAAACATATCTGTACATAACAGAAGTATTTTCTATATGGCTGCATCGCCACAAAAACGAGAAGAAGAAAAAATGCAGAAAAAACCTTAAATGTGCAATATCGCATGAGTATTTTTTTTCCAAAGAAGTCTCTATATTGTACTTGTTTATTCAGCAGCTCAGCTGCATTTGTTTTAAAGAACAGGGAATTGAAATTACCGTGTTTGAATATAATTAAAAAAAAATATTTAAAAAGAAAACTGGGCCTTCGACGTGATCACTTTGTAACACGCCAGGAAGTCCCAATGGATGGCTGAAGGGTTTTACCCCCCTTGTGATGCAGTAAAGGAGAGAATGTGCTGGACTCGGGCTGGGGAGGCACGGCTTCGGAGCCGTGAAGCTCACCGTGTAGCCATCAACTGCTCACTGCGTGTCATCCTAACCTGCCACACAGAGTTGCTGCTGTGAGGAATTTTCAAAAAAATGCACCCGTTCCTGAGAAGACAGACGGGTTAAAAACGTGTGCTAGACTCCTCCATACTCCACCCATTCATTCCAAGTTAATTAACACAGAAAAACTACCACAGTCACTGGGGAAGGTTTAAGATTCTCTGTCACTTAAATATGGCTTGGAACCAACGCTCCCTCTAAGCTGTGGAGTCTTGTGAGCAAAAATTCTACTTTGTGAGCTACTGGCATTAAAGTGGTGAGCGAGCTCCTGCATAAGTTAGTTAGCTCTGGAGCCATCCCTCCTGAGCTGTGACAAAAATGTGTGAGATGGAGGCTGAAAAACTGAGCTGGCTCACACTAACGCAGCTTAGAGGGAACACTGCTTGGAACATATTTTATTGGAGTGTGAAACCTGGTCTGATTTGAGAGAAAGGTATTGAGAAGGGGCTGTGGCTCAGCGGTAGAGCATCTGCTTGGCATGTAGATGGTCCCAGGTTCAATCCCAGGCATCTCCAGTTAAAAAGGACCAGGCAGTAGATGGCGTGAAAGACCTTTGCCTGAGATCCTGGAAAGCTGCTGCCAGTCTGAGCAGACAATACTGACCTTGATGGACCAAAGGTCTGATGCAGTATAAGGCAGCTTCGTGTGTATTCATGTATTTGTGCTCCCTCTTAGTAAGTATGTGAATTTGCCATCTCAAAAGAATCTTCCTATTTTTCCTTGTAGAGGAGGATTGGAAACCTACCTTAGCAGTTGCTAAATATTTAGCTGCAGTGATTACCTGTAAGAGGGTTGGGTCTTGTGGTCTGTTCATGACCTGTGAGTCAAAAGAACAGTAAGATAAGTAAGTGATGGAGCACAACTAGAGCCAGGGGTTCCTAGATCCTGTCTCCCCCACCAAATTCCTTTCCATGCCAGACAGTATCAACCTGACGACTGGGATCCCCGTGACATCAACACTCGTGCTCCCAGAGCATGGTGGGTGTGTGCTGTCTTCGGGACTGACATTCCCCATCTCTTCTTAAGGAGCCCAGAAGTTCAGTTCCTACATCTGGGCTCTGGATTCCCTTCATGCAAGCTCCTCTGTTCTTGACCTCATAGCCACAGTTGTTCCCAGTGGTGTAGGGCCTTTTTCAACCTGGGCCTCAGTTTCCAACCCACCTTCCTAACTCTCCCTTTCCCAAGAGGCCTGCTCCCCCCCGGCCCCACTGGTGGACCTCCTGATGGCACTGGTATTTCTGGCCACTGTGTGACACAGAGTGTTGGCCTGGATGGGCCTTTGGCCTGATCCAACACTGGCGTCTCTTATGTTCTTATGTTCTTACTAGGAATAATGCCCGTTGCGGAAATAAATACAACGGGATCTAGAAAGAGGCTCTGGGAGAGTGCTCTGGCTTTGGGCAAACAGTGTCAGTTTCCTGTGGCGACCTCAGCAGGGTTTAAGGACAGAATCCACTGTTTTCTCCAGAGGGACTGATCTCTGCTACCTGAAGAGCATTTGTATGTTTGAGTTATCTGTAGCCCTCACCTGGAGAGTGGTAACCATTGTTACCCATTCTCCTCTCCCCTATGAGGTATGTTATGCAACTGAAAATTCCAACTGCCTTGCGGGGGGGGGGAGTTTGAGGTGTGGAATGGACTGAAGTCCAATCAGCTTCCATATGCAAAAGACCAGGTTGTCGCAGCAGTTGTGGTGTGGGCGGGACCCGGGCTTTGCCCTCTGATTGGTGGCGATATATGCTGAGGAGCAGTGCCATCAGCCATACACTAAGGGAGTGCATTTTAGAATTAGAACTTTGGCACCCACTATTCAATTATATATAAGGAGAGATTTGCTCCCCGAGGAGCTCCCAAGAAGGCCAGATCACGTGTTGGACATGCAAAGCTGCCTTATACTGACTCAGAGCACTGGTCTAGCAAGATCAGTATTGCCCACTCAGATTGGCAGCACTTCTCCAGGGTCCCAGGCAAAGGTCTTTCACATCACCTCCTACCTGATCCTTTCAACTGGAGATTCTGGGCACTGAACCAGAGAGCTTTGGCATGCCAAGCAGGTGATCGGTCAATGAACCATGCCCTCAACCCCTACGAATGTTTACAGATTTGCCACTGATTCAAAGTTAGTAGCCTTGATGCCTGGCTTGTTAATCCCAAAACTATTAAAATAGTGCTGGTGAGCAACTCTTGAAAATAGCTTGTTGCTACAGAAAAGCTTATTGCTTTACATAACATGCTTTATGCATGGGCTAGAGACAGGGAAGTAAAAATAGGCCAAGGCTGAGGTCCTACTTATGCTTGCTAGTGAGAAATCAGTGGCATAGATAGGATTTACGATCATTTTACACCAGACTGAAGTTCCCAAAAAGAATGGTCTCAAACTATAAATCTATATGCAATTCTTACCCAAAGTTCTGAGGCAAAGTCAACATTTCTCCAAGCATTAGTGTTTCTGCCCCTTTTACAGTAGAAGGATCATCTTTCATTAACTGGTTGAGCAGGTCTCCTGCAAAAATACAAAAATGAGTCAGATATGTCATTGTCAACCTTTTTAGATCCAGGACCTAATACTCCAATCTGGTACTGAGACCCTGTTTTAACGGTTTGACCTTTTTCTTCTCTGTAGTGTAACCAGATGCAAAGGAGGCTCCTTAACTCTTCTTAGGTGTACAGAATTTTGGTAGGTGCGTAAGAACATAAGAGAAGCCAATGTTGGATCAGGCCAATGGCCCATCTAGTCCAACACTCTGTCACACAGTGGCCAAAAATACCAGGTGCCATCAGGAAGCCCAGCAGTGGGGCCAGGACACTAGAAGCCCTCCCACTGTTGCCCCCCTCCAGCACCAAGAATATAGTGCATCACTTGCCCCAGCCTGAGAGTTCCTATCTATACCTTGTGGCTAATAGCCACTGATGGACCTCTGCGCCATATGCTTATCTAATTCCTTCTTGAAGCTGTCCATGCTTGTAGCCACCGCCACCTCCTGTGGCAATGAATTCCATGTGTTAATCACTCTTTTTCTTACTCCCTAGTAGTTTTTCTTACTCCCGTGTATCAAGCTGCCACAAGCCCCTCCTTGCATAACCTTTACTAATAAAAAGGGCCTGTTCTTTGCATTTGGTCTCTTCCTAGCTCTCTCCTAAAACAAGAAACCTTAAACAAACCAGTGGGTGGGGATGCTATAGGTGTGGCTCACTGATAGCCAACGTGGTGTAGTTGCTAGATTTGGTAAGCAGACTTGAGTTCAAATCCCCACTTTGCCATGAAGCCCACTTGGCTGACCTTAGCCCATCACTGCCACCTAGCCTAACCAACCTTTTTGCCCCATGTGTGGGGAGGAAATGCAACATCTGCCTGTGAGTGGTGTGCTGGCAAATAAAATGGGGGGGGGGTTTGGAGGAGGGTTGTACTTGACCTGATGTGCTTGGAGGAGGCTAAGTCCCAAATGGTGCTCCCAACACAACAGGGATCCACTGTCGTCTCACTTGTTGCCATCTTCCCTCACATCAGTGGCCCCAGCAGTGCTACCACTGCCTCAGTTACTTGGGCGAGCAAAATGGTCTGGTTTGCTGCTGTTGGCCTGGATTGCCTACCCTTGTTTTAGTCAATTAATCTTTTTAACTAAGGGGGCATCTCCTATGCATGCCTACCTTGAAGTAAGTGAACTCAGTGGGGTTTACCTCTGAGTACACAAACACAGGATGAAGCTGCAATCCTATGTACAACTACTAGGAAATAGGTCCCTCTGAATGCAGTAAATTTTCCAAATTCTACACTGTTAAGATGTCTCCCCAAGTCATATTTATATTGGCACATAAACAGATTTTTGGCTAATAGTTACTACTACATTTACAGCGAATAAGAAAATTCTACTTCATAAGTTTACTCCACAAAATTATTAACAGCCCAGTCCTACACATATTTACTCAGAAGTATGTCCCATCCAGTTCAATGGGGCTTATTCCCAAGCAAATATAAATCAGGGGTTAGTATGCAACCCTATACATACACATGCAGGTAGTGAAGAAGCAGTGCCATGAGCTGGTGGGAGGGTTGCCCCTTCCTGCTTGGGAAATACCTGGAGATTTGGAGGCAGAGCCATGGGAAGGTGGAATTTGGAGAGGAGAGGGAGATCAGTCTACAATAAACAACTACTAGGATTCTCCCGTCCCCACTTACAACTCTCAAGATCCTGTCTTGTTTGTGTTATAATACCCTCAACCCCCACCAGAACCTGTGTGAAGGGTGGGGGGGGAATCAATGCTGTCTTCAGTAAAAAGGCAAGAGCTCTGACTTCTGAAGTTAAAAAAGTGGCAGAATTGCTAACACTGGACAATTTCCCTTGCAGCCATTCGCACACAATCTCTCTGAACATTTCCTGGAAGCATTTTATGTGTACTAAGAAACCGAACATGACTTCCCAGTGCACACGCCATGTGGCTGCTCAGCACTGCATGCGACCATCCTCATAAAATTGAGTCCTCGTTCCAAACAAGTGAAATATAAGAATCTTGTGTTTGACATGTCCCTCGTTCCTTTTATAGTGCCAGCCAGCTGGGCCCGAGTGCCTTCAAAAGGAGCGTAGCCCCACATATGTCCTTCCCCCACATCCCAAGTACACTCTTTTCTTTTTTTGACGTTTCAAGTATAGTCGTTTCTTTTCTTTCTTTCTTTTTAATAGCACCTCGCTGAGCTTTGGCTACCTGCTCAGGTATGCGAGAGGTGTGGCTCATGGGACAGGCTTGTTTGCTCAGGAAATCCAAACACCCCGACAGTTTCCAAGCTCTGCTCGTCAGGTCAGGATGCCTCCAGCTCTGTGCCCCATGGAGAGATGGTAGGGGTCCCCGAGCAGCTGAGGGTGTAGGCCTATTGTCTGCTAATACCTAGCAGGTAAGTCTGAATGTTATGATGGGGCTTCCGAGGGAGGTGGAATCTGTCGTGGGGATCTGAGGACCAGGGCTCCTGAGGCTCTGACACAGGGAGACCCTGAGAAGCAGAATGAGAGAAACCAAAAGCTGAGGTGATTGGGCCTTTTTAATAGGGATGGAAAGCGGGGCTCCGGGGTATGCTGAGGCTATTCTTGAAGGTTCTTTCCATCAACTCGGGGAGTAAAGGCTGGGATTCCAGATTTTTGAATCTGAAGCGAGAGTCCAGGGAGTCACCTAAAAAGATGCTGAGTTCTCTGCTTGGGAGCACAATGGGGGGGGGGAACAGCAGAGCAGGAAGCATGCGGAGAGTTGAGTCCCCCCCCCCAAAGTGGGTACACAAAACTGAGACCAACGATCCAAGTGGGCTTTGTCAGGAGAACACAGCATTCTGTTTGGGTCTGTGGCTGCTGTTGCCACCGTTGCTTATTCTGCCATCCGCTCAGACCCCTTCGGGCAAGCGTTTCTGTGACCCAGTCAGAGGCCCACCATTTTGAAACCCTTGCTTCCGAGCCGGAAGGTTCCGGATTTTTACGAGAAAGGGATATCTAAGAACCACAGCCCTGTTCCAGAGCCACCTTTGAAGGCTGGACCTTACTCAGCCCAAGTTGTTCAGTAACGAGAGAACCTCTGGGCAAATGCCCAATGGGAAGTGACTGCAGCCAGGGCTGGGGGGCAAGGCCAGTCCAGTCCAGGGGCATGATTTCAAGCAGGAATCAAATACTTCCTCCCCCCCCCCCTTTTAAAAAAAGCATTGGTTGCTAACCAAGGGCTCTGGCGCTTTCCTAGGCAAGGCATAAGACATTGTTTGTGTTTGGCATTCAAGCAGACTAAAGGAATTTGATGTCTTTTCTTGAGGGCTATGGATCACTAGTTTGGTTTTTAGAAATATTGTTTTGGTCCTGGTTTCATTGTTAGCCATTCTTGTTCCCTACTGGGTAGAAAGGCAGGATACAGATGTTTAAGAAAGGTAAGAATCAGAGAAACTAGGAGCTAAGATTTCTGGATTCAGGGTGATTCTGGATAACTGAAAGCATGGGTGTTTCTTAATGTCCTCTGAAGGGTTGGCCCAGCATATACTTCCCAACCTGTGGCATAGAGACCCATAGAGCATTTGGTTGTGGATACTCAGTGACAAGTAAAAAATACTCTGTGCATGCTCTAAGGTGCTTCCAGGTGTGTGTGTGTTTGTTTAATTTTGCATATCCAAAACAGATACCAGGGCTGAAAATTGAGTCCCAGGCAGCTGTGATTAGACCCTCAAGAGCAGAAATATCTAGTAGGGATTTCCTAGACTCTGTAGGAATACAATTGCCACCACTTTTTCAGGCAGGGCTGTTGCGTCTTTACAGATGATTTAAAATACATTCTACCTCTCCACTGGAACTGCCCTAGGCCATTCACAATATTAAATCCAATTAAAAGCAGCTCATGTAAAATCTCATCCCTCACACAAATCAACCAGTGCAGCAGAAACTAAAATCAACAAACCGCAACCAATTTAAAATAATAGGCACATCCAAAAGCAAAACAACCAAGTGGCAAAAAAGAACTAACAAAACCCAGCTGAAATAAACCCTGGCCTGGAACAGGGAAAGGCTGGGGACTGTGGGGCTACCACTGAGAAGGTCCTTTTCCCTGGTGGTCACCTGCCTCTCCTCAGCAGGTCAGGGGAATTGAGTAAAACGTCCTGATAGGGTGAGGATCACATTATGGAATGGCAGGAAGGAGAATCTGCACCGGTTGAATTTCTACCTTGGTAATGCAGCTCTGGGGAATGATTGCATTTTATAACCGCAGGACCCATGCCTGTAAAAATAGGGAGGGACTCTACTTGGAGGCTCGCCTAGCCAGTAGAAGGGATGGAGTTGGAAACAGCAAGCTTTCATTTCTCCGTAGTTAAACTAGACACCCGATTAAAGCCTCCCATCCATCTTGTACGAGCTGCCTGAATCAATATTAACTTGGCTTCCTTTTCAGTCCACGCCCGCACTGGTGGTGGACCTTGGCTCAACTACCTAGCTGGCAAATCTATGACTGGGTTATAAGCAAATTTTGGAAGGAGGGGCGGCATTTACCATGATCTCAGATTTACCTGGCATTTGGCCCCTTGTGGGCCAAGGGAGGAGTCCCTGCTCAGCCCCAGGATTTATGACACTCGGCCAGGCAAGGAGGTAGAATTCCATCTTGAATAAAAGCCGTCTTGCCAGATGAAATCCAGCAGGTGTGCAAGGATTTGCCCCAAGACCTTGAAGAACAAAGTGAAATCTGAAGATGGTTTTTTTTTTTAGTGGGGGGGGGGTTGTTACCACATACGCATCCCTCGTGCTCTTAACGTCTCCAGAATAACAAGCACTTAACACAGAGTAGAATACCAAAGTTTACTTCTAAGTATGCCTTGAAGGGTGCAGGGCCGATCTAACCCTTGTGCTGCTCTTTAACCACTAACAGTGGAATCTAAGTAGGGAAAAAAAAGGAAAGAGTCATCGGAGCCGGGCCTCCTGACTGGGGAGGGAGGGGGAATGAGTGAGGCTTTATAAGAGAGCTGAAGACTAAAATGGAAACTGATCCCCCTAGGTTAGGCCAGGGGCATCATGGGATACTGCAGGAGGAGGCCTGGGAGGCTGGGTTCTTTGGGGCAACTGCCAGATTAGGGAAGGGGCGGGGGAAGAGAACGGACGAAGATAAAGAGGGCCCAGTGTTCTAAGGCTTTGGGTATGCCTTCTCCATCACCAGTAGGACTTTCAAAGTAAGGTTACCAACCTCCAGGTGAGGCCTGGAGTTCTCCCAGAATTACAACTAGGGTTGCGAGGTCCCCCCCCTCTAAGCTGTGGAGTCTTGTGAGCAAAATTTCTACTTTGTGAGCTACTGGCATTAAAGTTGTGAGTGAGTGATTCGACTACTGCATAAATTAGTTTGTTCTGGAGCCCTCCTTCCTGAGCTAAGACAAAAATGTGTGAGCCAGAGGGTAAAAAACTGTGAGCTAGCTCACACTAACTCAGCTTAGAGGGAACACTGGTTGCGAGGTCCCCCCTGGCCACTGGTGGGGGATGAGAGGGCTTGTAGGCTTGCCAGATCCAAGTTGGGGAACTCCTGGAGATTTGTGGATGGAGCCTAGAGAGGACAGGGACCTCAGTGGGGTACAGTGCCATACAGTCCATGCCCCCAAACCTTCCATTTTCTCCAGGGTGTTCTTTGTAAGTCTAGAGATGTGCTGTAATTCCAGGGGATCCCCAGGCCCCACCTGGAGGCTGGCATCCCTAATTACAACTGATCTCTGGACTATGCAGATCACGTCCTCTGGAGGAAATGGCAGCTTCAGAGGCTGGACGGTCGGGTACACCATAGAGTCTAGGAGCAATGGAAGTCCTAGGGCGATATCTAATCCATGCTGAGCTCCCTTCCCAGGCACAACCCCCAAATCGTCAGACGTTTCCCCAGATAGAAATTCTGTGAATGGAATTCCCCATGTTTCTTCTTCCCAGGGAGGTCGGGTTGTGACCACTGCACAAGGGGAGGATAGATTTAAGTTATTTCCCCCTCACTTGAACCAGGCCCACGGAGCTGCGATTTTCCCCATTGAGGCAAACCTACACACAGCAGTATCGGTAGACTTGGTGGTCAAGCAGCCGCTTTGCTTGCCGAAGAGTTCCAGGCAATGCTCCCTCTAAGCTATGGAGTCTTGTGAGCAAAAATTCTACGTTGTGAGCTACTGGCATTAAAGCTGTGAGCGAGCTATTTGGCTACTGCATCAATTAGTTTGCTCTGGAGCCATCCTGAGCTAAGACAAGAATGTGTGAGCCGGAGGCTAAAAAACTGTGACTCACACTGACTCAGCTTAGAGGGAACTCTGGTTCCAGGTTCTCTCCTCGGCATCTCCAGTTGAAGACTCTCAGGTCACAGGTGTTGGGGAAAACCTTTCTCTCCTCGGGACCCTGGAGCACCACTGCTTTTCAGATGTGATACCGTTGCACTCCCTGCCGTGGCTGGATAGACGACCAATATTCTTGAGGCAGCTTTCTCATGAATTAAGAGCTAATTCAAAGTATGACGGTCCTCACAATCGTTCTCAGACGTGGGGGGGGGGAGCAGGGGGTTACAAATAAGCTTACAATGGGTTCGGGTCATATTGCAGCGTCTGCAAACCCCTGATCTAGCGAAGTCAGCTTTTACCACCGCCTTAATTGCCAGCATTGTCTAGGAAACCTCCGCTGAGGTGGATCTGACCTGAACGAGGCAGAGGTGGAGCTCAAAGGAGGAAGAGCTGAGTGCTTGAAATTGAGAGTGAAGCAGGACCTGCCTTGAATTTTGAGACTGCACGTCTAGCAGAGGAACGGCAGCCGGCGGCTGTCCTTTTAGCTGGTTGCGAACCAAGCATGCGGGAAAAGCCAGCAGCTCCTCCTACCTACTGGACAAAGTGGTGACTTTCTCCTCTTGCATTTTTCAGGTTGCGTTAAAAACCTAGGAGCAGGCCACGTGGCACTATGAGCGACACGGGAAGGTAAGCACGGTTACTAGGGTCATGATCTCATTCAGCCCCCGTCAATCTCAGCGAGGGAAGCTTTACGGTACAAGCAGCTAGTTGCCTAGGGCATCACAACGCAACAGGTGCGTGCCACGGAGGATGCTGCTGGAGCTGAGCATGTGGCCTTGGGACCCTCAGGGTTTTTATGGGGAGACAGGGCTAGGGTTGCCAACGCTGGGCGAGTAAATTCCTGGAGGTTTGGGGGTGGGGTCTGGGGAAGGCCGGGTCTGGGGAGGGGAAGGTCCTCAGCAGGGTATAATGCCATGGAGTCCACCCTCTGAAGCTATCTTCTCCTTGGAAGTTCATTTCTATGGTCTGGAGAATTCAATGTTCCCTCTAAGCTGTGGAGACTTGTGAGCAAAAATTCTACTTGGTGAGCGACCGGCATTAAAGTTGTGAGCAAGCGATTTGGCTGCTGCATAAATGAGTTTGCTCTGGAGCCGTCCTTCCTGAGCGAAGACAAGAATGTCTGAGCCAGAGGCTAAAAATCTGTGAGCTGGCTCACACTCACTCAGCTTAGAGGGAACATTGCTGGAGATCAGTTGTAATTCCCAGAGAACTCCGGGACCCACTTGGACGTTGACAACCTGATAGGGCTGCCAACCTCCAGGTGGCACCTGGAGATCTTTCGCTATTACAGTTGATGCTCCCCAGACGACCAAGACCAGTTCCCCTGGAGAAAATGGCTGCTTTGCAGGGTGGACTCCATATGGCATGATACTCTGCTAAGAGGACCTTCCCCTCTCCAGATCTGGCCTTCCCCAGCTTCCACCTCCCAAATGTCCAGGAATTTCCCAGTCCAGAGCTGGCAATCCTACCTATCTACTCTTATGTTCCACCTGGGAGCCTCCTTCCATGATGGGTAACAAAGAAGGCCCAGAGCCGGCCCTGTGGGTTTCAAGCAAGTATGAACTCTGCGCTAGGGTTACTGACCTCAAGATGGAGCCTGGAGATCTGGAATTTCAACTGACCTCCAGGCTACTGGGGTCAGATCCTCTTCAGGAAATGGCAGCTTTGGGAGAAAGACCCTCTGTCATCACATCTCCTCCCCGGGTGCTACCCCAAATCTCCCGAAATTTCCCAACCCAGAGTTGGCAACCCTGATTCTGGCCTGGCGCCTCTCTCTTTGGAAAAGTAGCCACTGTCTGTTAATCCACTTCCTCGTTACTTCTTCCAAATTCCTCCCTAAACCTCATTTCATCTGTAAATCCCACTATATGGTCACTCTTGTGCCACCAGATGGGGCCTGGAGATCTCCTGGAATTACAACTGATGTCCAGGGATCAGTTCCCTTGGAGGAGATGGCCACTTCAGAAGGCAGATTCTATGGTATACCATAGAGTCTAGGAGAAACTGAAGTCCTAGAGTGACATCGCATGCCTGCTGAGCTCCTTCCCCTCCCCAGATTCCAATTTCCCAGGCTCCATGAATTTCCCAACCAAGAACTAGCAACTTTACTTGGAGAACAGCTAAATAAATGCTAGTACTGTTTTCCCCCCAATGAGACGTGGGCCCCTGTAGAGAACAGCAGATCAGGATTCAGAAGATAGGGGGCTACCAGACTCTTTAAGGATCTGGTGCACCTTGGCAGGCGTGAGGAGGGGGGGACTGAAAAGAAATTTCCTTCTGACTTACCCAATTTTTTTCCCCACAGCAGCAGTGATGTCTCTAGGCCCAGTGCCAGATCCATCTATGGTGAGTTTTGGGGAGGATTTCTTTCCATTTGGGTGGTAAGAAGGCTCAAAACTGAATGCGGGTGGGGTTACCAGACTCCAGGTGGGGTCTGGAAATCTGACAGAATTACAGTTGCTCTCCAGATCCACAGATCAGTTCCCCTGGAGAAAATGACCGCTTTGGAGGGTGGACTTTATGGCATTACACCTCATGGAGGTCCCACCCCTCTCCAAACCCCACCCTCCCCAGACTCCACCCCCCAAATCTCCCAGATTTTCCCAAACCAGAGTTGGTAGCCCTGGCTGGGGTGGGGGGTCTGTCAGCTTCAGCCCCTTGGAGGTCTCCTCCTGGTCTCAGTAAACCACTCTTTTGCTGGATCTTAGGCCTCAAACGCCACTGCTCTTTCCAAACCCACCTCATCCACAAAGACTGTCCCTTAACTTAGGGTTGCCAAACTCCAGCTGGGGCCTAGAGATCTCCAGGCCACAGAGATCTGTTCTCTTGGAGAAAATGGCAGCTTCAAAGGGCGAACTCGACTGTATACTGTAGTTTCTAGGTGAAATCACTCCCTAAATTCCCCACCTGTCCCATCCTCAGACACTACCCACAAATCTCCAGGAATTTCCCATGTCAGAGCTGCCAACCCTAATTTAGCCTCTCCCAGGGATCATTTCGTAGAAAAAGAGGTGCAGGAGCTCATTAGCATAACTCATTAGCGTAACTTATTTGCATATGCCACACCCTTTGACATCACCGGAAGTGTGTCAGAAGGCAACACCCACCGCTCAGGCTCCACTGGACTGTTCTGGATTGCTATCTATTGGTGGGGGGGACATGCAGATCTGTCCTCGCAGAGGAGGGAGAGCTTGTACCTGAATAAAACTTGGTCTTAAAGGTGCCACTGGACTGTTTTGGACTGCGGGGGGTGGGGGGGCTCTGCAACTTACCTGGCTGCTTCTTGCTCTGACTGAGGGCTGCTGGGAGCAGGGGGTGGGGCTTGTTACATGTGCCCACCCCCTGGGCTCTTTACTGCCGGAGCTCCGCTCCTGTGCGCTCCTGCAGGAAATGACCCCTGGCCTCTCCACCCTCAAGTTGCCAACTCGTGCATAGGAAATACCTGGAGAGTTGGAGGTGGAGGCTGTGATGGGTGGGGGTTGGGGACGGGAGGGACCTCAGCTGGGTATCATGCCACAGAATCAAACCCTCCAAAGCAGCCATTGTCTCCAGGGAAACTGATCTCTGTAGTCTGGAGATCACTTGAAGAAGTGCGGAATCTCCAGGCTCCACCTGGAGATTGGTAACCTTACACCCTTATCCCTCCTATGTTTATTCACCGTCTTCAGCTTGTTAGAGGAAGGGGGGACCTATTAACACACGGAAAAGATGGATGGGGGATGTGCGTAACTGCATTTGCACCCGTTGATCCTTTGCTATTCTTGTCTTGCCTATTGTGTTGTGGCAAGAATGTGCGCAATCGAGTTACTTACAATTAATCTCCAGACTCCAGAGATCAGTTCCCCTGGAGAAAATGGCTGCTTTGGAGAATAGATTCTATGGAATTATACTTCCCTGAGATTCCTCCAAGGACACCACCTCAAAATCTCCAGGAATGTTCCCACCTGGAGCTGGCAGCCCTAGCCCCAAGGCATGCTTTACCTAGAGTGCCAAAAATCCTTGCGACAGCCCTGTAAGGGGAGTTGGGTTGCATCCAACTCACTCCTGAATTCAGCCAGTCAGCCCTGTTGCACCTAGAAGCACCCCATCTTTTTAAGGCGCAGTGCTCTACATGGCTGCTACGCTTCCATAAACCACCTCCTGGCAAATTAGTGAGATGTACCAAGCAGGCTGCGGAAGGTCAGTAGTTCAGCAGTTCGAGACCCTGGTGCCGCATGACGGAGTGAGCTCCCGTCTCTAGTTCCAGCTCCTGCCAACCTACCAGTTCGAAAGCAAGAAATTGCAAGTAGATAAATAGGGACCACTTCGGTGAGAAGGTAACAGCGTTCCGTGCGCTTTGGTGTTCAGTCATGCCGGCCACATGACCATGGAAACGTCTTCGGACAGCGCTGGCTCTTCGGCTTTGAAACGGAGATGAGCGCCGCAACCCTAGAGTCGGACTCGACTGGCTTTCGAGCAAGGGAACCTTTACCTTTACCTTTTTACCATGTTCACCCCACAGTCAAGATTTAGATTGCAAGCTTCTCGTCAACGAGGACCTGCCCTCTTGCTGCCAAGACATTGTAAAAGCTACATAGACTGATGAGGCTGCAATGTAGGGTTGCCAGGTCCCCCCTGGCCACCGGGGGTGGGGATGGGGGGGGTTGCCAGATCCAGGTTGGGAAACTCCTGGAGATTTGGGGGTAGAGCCTGGGGAGGACAGGGACCTCAATAGGGTATAATGCCATAGAGTCCACCCTCCAAAGCATCTATTTTCTCCCCGGAGGTACTGATCTCTTGTCATCTGGAGATGAGCTGTAATTCTGGGGGGTCCTCAGGTCCCACCTGGAGGCTGGCATCCCTATAAAATATGACTGCTTTTCAAATAAGTTTGTCTGAAGTAGAGCTGCCCCTGTGGGATTGGTTTATCTGCAGCGGTTTTCCCCACCCTTCACAGAGGAGCGTGTGATATAACGTTAAAGGACCTTTCTTGCTTTATCACCTGAGTTGGAGTTGAGTGAATCACTCCCCCCTCCTCCATGGCTTACTTGTGCTCCTTACGACAAATCGAGCCAGATGTCTGGTGGATCCTTCAGCCTACACATCCTCTCCCTTCCTGCTGCAATGTAGGGTTGCCAGGTCCCCCCTGGCCACCGGGGGTGGGGATGGGGGGGGTTGCCAGATCCAGGTTGGGAAACTCCTGGAGATTTGGGGGTAGAGCCTGGGGAGGACAGGGACCTCAATAGGGTACAATGCCATAGAGTCCACCCTCCAAAGCATCTATTTTCTCCCCGGAGGTACTGATCTCTTGTCATCTGGAGATGAGCTGTAATTCTGGGGGGTCCTCAGGTCCCACCTGGAGGCTGGCATCCCTATAAAATACGACTGCTTTTCAAATAAGTTTGCCTGAAGTAGAGCTGCCCCTGTGGGATTGGTTTATCTGCAGCGGTTTTCCCCACCCTTCACAGAGGAGCGTGTGATATAACGTTAAAGGACCTTTCTTGCTTTATCACCTGAGTTGGAGTTGAGTGAATCACTCCCCCCTCCTCCATGGCTTACTTGTGCTCCTTACGACAAATCGAGCCAGATGTCTGGTGGATCCTTCAGCCTACACATCCTCTCCCTTCCTCCCCTGGAAATCTGTTTTCTGGGTTTTAAAATCTAATGGTTATTAATGTGCGGGGGGTGGGGGGGAAGAGTCGGAAGAAGGAAAGAGAAGAGTTGACTTTTATGAGTGAGTTCATAGAATCATAGAGAGGGTCATCTAGTCCAACCCCCTGCACAATGCAGGAAATTCACAAATACCCACACACACAAGCCAAACTGGTTCCTCACAAGCCAAACTGGCTGCCCTGGGGACAGGCACTATTTATCTCCCTCTGCTCTAGAATAACATCTCCAGAACTGAAATGTCTTCCTTACAGGGATAGATCCTTGGGTGGCAAGATGAGGTCTTTCGAACTAGACGATCCTGTTTCAGAACTGGCATTATTTGACATGTTGGAGGGTGGAACTTTACATATGGTTCTACCTCTTCTTCTTCCTCCCCTCTGGCAGCCTGAACAGCTGTATGTTGGGGACATATTCAACAGGTGTTGCTTTCTTCAGCATGCGGAAAGGAAAGCTTAATCTGTTGGACTTCTGCCTTCTGTGCCACTATTAAAAGCACAGGGATGCTCCTGCCCCAAAAGAGGTCAGCTTCTTCCTCGCAGGAGAGGAAAGTGCCAATAGAAAGCACACTAATCTGTTACAGATACCCCCTCTCCCCCTTTTAAAGGACTTCGTATTCTATTCTCAATCCATCCATACCTCTTCACAAACACTCCAAATTGACCCTGAACTTCCCGGTCTAGCTTGCTGTCTTAGGTAAACATTACAAATAAATTTCACCTCCTATATAACATTTTTTTCCTCTCTTTCTGCAGAACAGAGGAAAAAATATTCCAGCGTCATCATGGCGGATGTCTCCCAGTATCCTGTCAATGTAGGTGCCTCTCTCGGTCTTGTGGGTTCTCTGGGTGGAGGAAGATTGTGCCACTATTAAAAGCACAGGGATGCTGCTGCTGCCACAAAAGAGGTCAGCTTCTTCCTCGCTGTAGAGGAACGTGCCAATAGAAAGCACACTAATCTGTTAATTCCTGCCCAAAAATAGCCCTGGCAAGCCCATTCTCAGAGAAGTGAGTGACGTGAGAGATCTGGAGATCTCCCGGAACTACAGCTGGTCTCCAGGCTTCACAGATCAGTTCCTCTGGGGAAAATGGCCACTTTGGAGGACAGACTCTAGGGCAGGGGCATCAAGCTTGTTTGTTATGAGGGCCAGCTCTGACATAAATGAGA